GATTGTGCTATCGCTCCTGTAAAACAGAGAAATAATTTACTGTATAGGATTATAGCCCAGTTTACCAGTTGCATTTGTGCCTATTTGACCTATAAACATTTACTCAGCCTGAGTTCGAGGTGCTCACTGTTAATGGATAGGTTCAGAGCAGCTACTTTAAGGGCACATTCAGGGATGCCCCTCTCCTCCTACAATTATCATTAAACTGGTCCTGGACTGAACAGCCCTTGGAACAGAGGGTGCCTTCCAACAGGGGACTAGAACCTAGGTCACCTTTAAATCATTTGTTATGTTTATGCCTTGCCCTTCCTCCAATGAGTTCCTCCCCATTATATCAACACAACAACCTAATCAAGTAGGTCAGGCTGACAGGGAGTAACTGCCCCAAGGTCACCCAGTGAATTTCAGGACACGGTAGAGACCTGCACCTAGAATTCATGAGGGCCAGCCCAACACTCAGAGCAGGACACCGTACTAGTTGCCATGGCCACCCCCTTGGCCTTCAAGGTTTTCTATTTGCTCAGAGGCTCTGGGCCTGTCTTGTTCCTCACACCCCTCCTTCCCTCTGGCCATAGAGTGGAACTGTGCTGTCAAGATAGCTAACTTTATGGGGAAGAAAGGTTGAAATCTGTCAAAATGTTGAAATGCTTAAAAGCAGTATAAGAATTGTAGTTCTGGATATGTGAGATGTGGTCATAACATGGAAGTTTGAACAGCAATGTACAGTCTGTTAGTCATTGCTTCAGGGCAAGCTGATGTAACCTTGAACATGAGTTGTGCCCAAAACATTAAACTAGTATGTAGCAATGTACTGATTGGTCTTTAGAGGTTACTGCAGAGTAATTGCAGACCTCTTATGCAATCCCATTCATTCTCCCAAGGATGCAGAGGTGTGATGCTTTCCATTAGGTTCTGTGGTTATGCAAATACCAGTGTTAATAGTTAACACTGGTATTCACATTCATTCTGCTAAATTAGAAAAGGCAGATTGTTGGTGTTGTCTGTTTTTCTTATCAGGTATTGTTTTTGCTCACGTAGCAGAAGCTATGGGATTTTTCATTGGCCTCACGACTAATGAAACCTGCAAGTATAGCAGATGAGACATAAATAAGGTAAACATAAATGTCCTATCCATAAATATAGGCTACTGCAATGTAAGTTTAATCAGGAGAGGAAATCTACAGGGAGATATTCTGTTTGGGTAAGCATGATTCTTGAACTGAATGTGATTATGTAATTGCTTACAATGTAGACCTTAGAACTTTAGGACATAGTTAGATTTTTTAAAGCTATTTGTGTTTGAAGACATATTTCATAGATGTAACAAGGCCTGAAGATGTCATTTGGAACATTTCTATTTCATTACTAAGATTTTTATGCTTGTTAGTTGTTACATATATATATATTAAGAAAAAATACTGTTACATCTAATCCTGTTTGCATATTCAATAAAAAGAAGAAAAAGAACAATTTTCTGGATACTTTTGTGTGCTTCTAGAGGATATTCAGAAGGAGAACTTTATTTGTGCATAACAAATCATCTGGTTCACATGGCTGAATGGACATCACAGGCTGAATGGTCAAGGAGTGTTATAAATTATATAGTATTCTGAGGGCTTAGTTCATTGTCTAACAACTTGACACTGCTATCAAGCAAGTTGGAGAAACGGGAAAGGGAAACTCACATCTGCCTGTTTCTCCTTCCACAGAGGAATGTGATGGTGACCACAACTTCAGAATTAGCTGCTGATCATAAATACATTCATCAGACACACAGGCAGGCAGAGTGCTCTCTGTCAGGTAAAACCTGGCTAAACTAGAGAAACACCAGCAAATCAGAGCTGGGGTTGGGTTTGAGGGGCAGCTGGACGGTCCTTACCTTCCAACCCATGTGGAACATGATTTTTTTTTTTATAGTTCTTGAACTGCTGCTGTCAAAATGTCCGCAACAGGGCCACTCAGGAGTCATAACACTGGTTGTTAATAATCTGCTTTGTTTGAAATAGTGTTTAAGGACACACCTGCATGCAACCACTGGCTCTTCCCTGAGCCCCTTGGCTTTTGAATGCAAGGACATCACACATACATAAAAAATATTTGCACTGAGCAAGCGAACGAGACTCCATCTTGAAATGAACGATGGGGTTTACTCAGGCTTTAAAGCCACCTCAGAGGCAGACATCACTTTTTCTTCTCCAGCGTGGCTTGCCGTGAAATTTGTCGTCTAGCCTGGAAACCTCAGGAAGGGTTGAGAACCCCTGAGAAGCCCAGTTTTCTGTCCTGGGACTTCCAAACCTAATTCCCAAAGAGTGTTAACAGTTTAAAAAGTAAAAGCTGCACAGTGAGGTTGCAAATCATGTTAATGTAATGCTCCAGCCTCCATATTAATGCCATTTTAAGGACACAAAAATATCCATCTGTAACCAGGGAACTGTTGCTTCATGCTGACATCAGCTACAGAAAGCAATCTCACCACTGAGTGCAGGTAATTTCATCATTTCACAAGTTTCTTTGGGAATAGAAGGCTTCAAGCAGCATTAAAGAAAAACCACGACATCACACGCTGCTGCACAGCATCCATGTACAGGTTGTATCAATATTAAGTACACAAGGAGATGCTGATTTTTGTACCTCACAAATAAAACATATTAAGAGTTCTAAAAAATCTGTGGAAACCAATGAAGGATTTAACTGAAGAAACACAAAGGAAACTGCAACATAAACAGACTTCAATTTGGAAAAAGAAAGAAAAACGGACATTCTTAAAGTGACTAGGAGAAAAATCTATTACCACAATATATGTTCAGCAAACATTTCAGTTAAAGGAGCTATTTTTATAGGATGATTTAAAAATTAATTTGCTGGCTACATCAGCAAAAAGGCTTTTAACAAATCCAATACTCAGTGTACCTGACCAATTTCTGCCATAAAGGTAAAAAAGATAAGAACAGTCTTGCTGCTAGATTGGATGTAACATCAAAGACATTGGCTTCCATCACATCTCCTTGTCGAGACTAGCCTTACCACTGGGCTGAATAAGGCGTCTGCCTCAAGCACAAAATGTCAGCAAAATGTCAGTTATCTCTTTTGCTAGGATTGTATTCTTACTGACAGGGATTGGAAAAGGTGTTTGTGAAAATTTCTTCCTCATGTACTAAATAACATGGCTGGTTTAGGGGTGCTATGCACTTTGACTCAGTATGTATAGGGGAGTGGCATTTGGTGCTATGCCTCAGGTGGCAAAATGTCTTCGGCTAGCCTGGCTGATGATTGTGTGAAATGAATTGTTATTCATATGGAAAAAACAAACTTTCCTTTAGTACATCTCAAAACTACCACAAACAGTAGTTACCAAGTTTTAATAAATATTACAAGAGTGAAGAAATATGTTGCTGTTTTCACATCTTTTTCCCTGTTGGCTACATTTTTTCTCACATTCACATCTCTGGCCTCAAAATATAATTTCATTTTCCATTTGTAGAAAGACCAGCCAAGCTGACCTGAAGCTGAAGCTGAAGCTGAAGCTGAAGCTGAAGCTGATGATGATGATGATGATGATGATGATTGGACACAATTTGATGGATAATCTGGACATAATACTGTACATGTAATCTCACCACTTGCTAGTTCCAAGACTAGAATATATTGAACTTATTTTACTTCATAGATGTATGATATATACGGTAATGTATTATTATAAAGTCATAATGTCCTAGCAGTGTAAGAATATCACCAGTTACTTCTCTGTAAAACCTACTTCAGGCTGTTTATTCTCCCAAGAACTCAGGCAATTCTCAAAAGCTGCTTCACTGAAAACAGAAGCATTAATCCATTGCCACGTTTGGTCTTAAGAGCAGGATTTACAGTTTTCTCTCAGGTATTAATTATATCCGCAGAATAACTGACTGAATGGCAAAAAGCAACAGCTGTGCAGCACACTTACCATGTAATTCAGCAAAAATTCAGCAAAAAGGATGCCCTGGGTTCTCAATGATTTTTTTAAAAGATTTCTGTTCCACCAAACAAAGAAGCACTGATGGACTCAGGGGAACCCACTACAAATCCCTGTTCAGTCATGAGGCTTAGTGAGTGAACTTGGACTATTTATTGGCCAAAAGTACCTTGCTGTAGAGAGAAAACATTAATTATTGCAAGGAGTATCTACTGCTTTGAGCTCCTGAAAAGGATTAAAATGCACAAAATGTATGCCCCTACATGAATTTAGTCTCACGCGTCAACATTTGAAGAGCCTCAGATTCATTTTCTCTCACATGCAAATTTTGTTTTAATTTTAAAGTTTTTAAAATCTCAAGCTGTTTCTATCCAATTTGTGAAGAGGATTGCATCCGACTTGACCATCACAGGCATTCCAAGCCAGACTTTGGAGAGCTAAGCACTCAACACCCGCTGTTGCCACGAGTGAACTTTTGTCAGTTTTGCTTTTTCCTCACATTCAACATTTTCATATTCTTTCTGTTAAATGCTTGTGAACATTTGCACATTTTTGGAAAATTGTTATAAAAATAAATGTAATTGTTAATGCTTATGTGCTTTTAATTATTCAGTGTTTAATTAATTTGTGTATGGGTTGTTTTTTAATGTTTAACTTATTAGGTTTTTAATTCTGTTTTGTTAATATTGTGAGCCACCTTGGGTCCCCTTATCAGGACAAAGGTGGCCTATAAAACAAACAAACAAAGCAAGCAACATTCTCATTCATCATTACTCTGGAAACAGATCTTTTAAAAATTAAACTTCTAGAGACCTTGGAGAGTTGCTACCAGTCAGCTGAGAAAATATTTGATTATATCAGCTTGTCTCAGTCTTAGGTCTCCAGATGTTGTCAGACTGCAACTTCCATCATTCTAGCCATCCTTCTCCCCATCCCAGAGGTTAGTCATGGCTGGTTACGTGAACTCATGGTCTGAAAACAAAAGACATTCTCATAAGCAAGCAAGGCCAACAACAAATTCAAATGAAGTTCCATAGCAGGCATTACCTTTAAGGTGAGAGTAATATTTTATTTCATTAAAATATATTGGAAACATATCCCGTCAAAGAGTTAAGGTTCTCAATAATTTATTACTATTTACATTAGCAAATTTTGTTTTACAATTAGCTGTACAAAGGAATACTGAGGACTTTCCCGGGAGAAAGGAGATGTACCATATTCTCCAGAGTGAGGGGAGAAACAAAAACAAACCAGAACAAATAACTTGGAATGTAAATTCCTATACATAAATTCCAACAACTATACTATTTAAGGCAGGTATTATCTTACAAACCTCCATCGTTTTTATTCCAGTTTAAGTGACATTCCTCCTCCCTTGGGAACTGTAGTCTAGGGTCAACATGGAAAACTCACTGTAGGAGATATTAAACGCTGTTCATAAGGTTCCCTGAGGAGAGGAAATAACCCTTAAACCATCTGAGGTCTGTATGGTATCAGTGTGCTTGTAATAGAGTTCAGTCATCAAGTACAGTGACTGATGATTAAAGGGTGAAAACAGGTGCTTTTTGTTGTTCTGTGAGCCCAAACCAACCACTCAAGCAGTTCAAAGGCTCAAGGCCTTCTGCTGCTGCCCAAGTGCATGCCTCGTCTTCCACAGAGTTCACATGTCACTCTTCCACGTTACCAGAACTAGTTCTCCTTCTCCATCCACATTCCACTCTGTACTTCAGGCTGTGGGATCTTGTCCCTATCTGCCTCCTTTTGCAGAGTGCAAAACCTACACATCCTGTGCACTTGGCCAGTGGCTAAGTGAAAGGTACAGGGATTATGGCCTTTAAAACTCTTCTTGTGCCTTTCATCACAGTCTCTCAATGCAGCTCTTCCTTGTCACTGTGGTGTAGAAGAAGCTATGTCATGCATATCTCCTCCTGCTGTGCCAGCTATTAGTGCCAGTTGGGCAAAAAAGGGGCCCTCCAGATGATATTGGACCGCAACTCCCATCAGCCCTAGCTACTGACCCAGTGGTGAAGAATGCAGGGAGTTACTTTTCAGCCACATCTGGAAGACCACACTTTGGCTATGCCTGAATTAAAGAAATATGTGGAGCTTTTCAGTCAGGACCAGTCCTACCCTTAGGCAGAGGGAGTTGGTTTCTCAGGCAGCAAATTTTGGGTGTCACGAAAAGACAGTAGAGTGTTAAAGATAGACATGTTGTTCTTGCATTTACACCATAAAAAATGAAAACACAAGGTTATGAGATTTTCTGCCTAATATATTGAAATAATTTGCCTAACATTGACTTAGGAAGGGTCACACTTCCTTTTTTGGGGGGGTGGGGAGTCTGTAACCAGTTTTCCATTTGGGCAACAGACACTGGATTTGGTGATTGCTGTCCCTTTGCAGCAACCTCAGAGAGACCACCGTTTATTCATTAGTAAATGTGAATAAAATACGTTGCGGTGGGGGAATGCTGGGCATTTGGTTAACAAAATGTATCATTTGGTAAATGAAACCAAGAAAGTCAAGACAACTCCCAGGTTCTATGCACACTGTCTTGGTGGGAGGTCAGGACCATTTCTTAATCTGCCTCAGGTTTGAGCCAGCCTTGTTTTCAGTCCAGCCCAAAACGCAAGCAGAGGAGGTAGGAGATTTGTGCTAAGGTGGGCTAGGGAAGTAGCTTATTTCAGGGAAGAAGTTTAAAGAACATGATGGCATATGTCAGAGCTTTATACTGTCCCCATGGGCCATGTTTGAAGTTTATTTCTGAGTGAATGGATAGTGTGGATAATTGATTATTGATTGCTATCTACCACATTCCCAATTTAGTCAATGGGCATGCTCTCCACATAGCCTATGCCTGCTGTTTAGGACCAGCCCTACCACTAGGCAGAGTGGTTACCGCAAGCAACAAAGATCTCATGAAAGAGTGGCAAATTGTTAGCTATTTCACTTGCCATTTTATCACCAGGGATGAAGAGAGATAGTTCTGCCAAAATAATTTGGCTTATGTGTCTTAATCAGGGTGAAGGAGCACTGTCAGCTGCTCAACCTCAGGTAGCAAATGTCTCAGGCTGTTTCTGCTAATGTTGATGTCACACTACTATAAAACTTACACAAGATCAGTTTTATCTTGGGACTGGAGTATGTGCTGCAATTGCCACTGGTTTGCCACTGGAAACAGCTTCCTCTGGCACAAAAATTCTGCCATTTGTAATACACAAAATTTCTTTCACATGGGTTTGCAGTACCATCATGCACTGTGGCTCTGTCCTGTGATTCCCACTCTGTACTCCCTCTATACATTACAGTAAGAGCACAGATGAAGGCCATTCACGATAGGAAGACCATTTCTAGCAGGTTCCTTGTAGTAAAAGTGACACATCCCAGCACCTCAGAGCAAACAGATGTGAAGATATGTACCCCTTTGGTGTAAACATTGTAATACTGAAAATAGTAAACAGTTCTTACTTTAGGGAAAGGGCAGTCATAACAATGTTTCTAGCAGAACTCTCAAAAATTCAGAGAGAGTAATTAAATTTTTTCTTCCTGTATTCATCATCTTAGAATGTAACCTGCTTAATTCCTCTGTTGTTATCATGATTATTATTGTTACTATTATTACAAGTGAGAAACAAAAGCCCTCATATGGTTAAACAAAACTTCAGGCTTATAATAAGTTAATTTAACAACTGATTTATGTGCTTGCTTCCTATAGGCACATATGACATAAGGCATCAGTTACTCTGGTATCTTTCAATGCACAAATTAACATGACACTTGTTATTGAACTGTCACTCTGAGGAAAGAAGAAGAAAGCAAGTGGTGTCCAAACAGAGGAGGCCTTTGAATGAAAAAGGTTTAGAAATATCCTCATGCATCAGAGAGAGCTTGAGAGAGAAGAACTGTGGACGGCTGTTCCAAGTTTCACTGTACCTCCGTAACCACTGGGGCCCATGATTTGTGCATCACCAACGCTTGTTGCTGCTGCTTCTTATGTTTCTTTATGCCTTTTTAGCAATGGATATCCTCGTTGCGTTCCTTTTTAGCAAAATGGAAATCCCTTTGCTCATAAGAGAACCACATCCTTGCAAGGCGCCTTCAGGAGCCACAGTAAAGAACCAAGCAACAATGCCAGTTTCAAGACATACATATTTGCATTCTGCCCTTTTCTCTCTCGCATCGCGCAGTTGTATGACAAATGCAAAGTTAGGGGACCAGTAAATGGCACAGATAAAGATATCCACTCAATATCAATCAATGAAGTCTCCTTAACCCTCTCAGTCCAAAATATCCGTTTCGAATGGAACCAGGTGGTAGTAGGACAAGTTGGTGACATACGCTGTTGGGTCCTCGCTGTCCTCAAGCTCTGAGGTAAATTCGCTAACATTCTCAAACCTAGAAGGAGGTTGAAAAAGAACAGAGATAAATAATGCCATTCATATTTGGGCATGATACTGTACAGGCATGGGAAAACATGCTTAGAATGGGACATATAAATTAGACACAACATAAGCAGAGAAAAGCAGAAGAACTTGAGAAGAGAGAGGAGAAGAGGCAGAAATATTATTAAGGTACTCAAAGCAATGACTCTAGAAGTTTGGGACTCAGTGTTTGTTGTTGTTGCTGCTGCTTATAATGCTACATCATATGTTTCCTTGTGCCTATTTAGCCTATTTAATTCTCCCAGAACGGCCCTCAAGCCAAAGAAGATTCTTGTCTGCTACTTCCAATGTTGCAGCGCCACCCCACTTCATGGTCGGAAATGGGTACTGCCGTTTATGAATCAAGCTTGACCAGAGAAACTAGACATCCGCTATTTGTATTCCCTGCCTCCCGGCACTGCTGACAACTGCAGGAAGGAGGCAGTAGGTGGAGTCCTCCCACACAGCTGATGAGTGGTCGGCTGTGCAGGGAGTTGGGGAAGCACTGGTCGGGATCCTTCCTGGATTGGCATGATGATAATGATGAAGGACCCCAGAGTGGACCAGGTGGTTCTGGGGGAATGGAATGGGCCTCTGTGGTGCTGCGATTTGTATTGTATCTCCAGAAAAACAAACACGAATAGCCCATGTCTAAGAGAAACCAGTGAGGGGCTGGCTGGTAACAATGGGCCATTCCTTTTGTGAGTGGGGGGAACAGGGATGAGAACATAGACTGCAACTCACCTGGAACCAGCCTTTCTTCCAGGCTTTCTATGCAGGAAGTAGGCCTAAGACAAACTGGAAGAGAAGCCTATTCTAGATGAGTAAAATATAAGGGCTGAGGTGGGCTGAAATTCCCAAAAATCTGCCTGAGGAATTCTTGGGGATTTCTGGCAGCTGCAGTAAAACAATAGCACAATTCTCCAAGAGAATGTTAACTTCAAACTTGTTTCGTTGTGCAAAACCCCCCAATGTTTTTGCAGCCAGACTTTTTGCCTGTCCCTGACAATCAGCACTAGAGATGAGGCTATTTGTATATGAAAACGAATATCCCTGCACAAGTGGTGTTAACAAGGGTCCATCCCCATGGGGCCGGATGGTCCACTCACAGATCCACCGCAGATGGCACAATTTCTATGAATGGTGCTGCAGCGTGCAATCCGCTTGCCACTCTTCGACCTTGCAGTGAGGTGCATCCTCCTGCTTTCTGCCAGGAGTAGCGAGCAGGTTGCGCACTGCAGAGCCATTCATAGAATCACGCCATCCACGGCGGATCAGTGAGCGGACCCTACAGGGGCTGGATCCTTGTTAACACCACCTGTGAGGGGATGTTCGTATTCGTAAAGAAATACCCCCATCTCTAATCAGCACCTCTCCATGGAACAGATGGAGATGGTTATTTCTTTGGACTACCGAATACTCCACCCAGCCTGGTTAGAGCAATGGCTTACAACTACAACAGGAGATACTGTCAAAAGTGGCACTCCAATGTCCTATAATACCTGTAGGAAAGTTTAGGCCATACATCACATTACCACGTTGTGGTATGGTTTTCACCAACTGCCACCAGGCTTCCCAGTCATATGGAAATGGGAAAAGAAAGCTCATGTTCTGTTAGTGTCTTGCTGTGAATAAAGGGGAAGAACCTGATCTATGGCTGCCATTTTTGCTGTGCCACATATCATGTCAAGTTCTGACCTTGTTCTGAACTGGTTTTCGTAAGGCTTCTCTGTACAAAATATCTCACAATATCTCTGCTGTAGTAAAGAAAGGGCATGACAACCCCAGAATGTAAGATTCCTCTATAGTTTCTTCAAAGAACACTCAGATAACACAGTGGTCGGTCTCCAACTGAACCACGCACCACCCTACTATACTGTATCTTTAATTTTTATGTTATGTTATTTTATTTCTGCAGCTCAGCCAATGATTTGTAACACAACTGTAGTTCACAAGACACGGCTTTATTTTCCCAATCATGGTGTTCCAAAACCATGATTATTTTGCAGTTTGAGCACACCAGCACGACCGAGGGTGCTGAAAGCGTTTCATGGGGACACAGAGTTTCCTTTGTTGTCCTCAGGCACTGGGCTCTATACTTCTTTAGAACACTTGGGCAATGAATCATACATTTCAGCTCTTCCAATTTCACTCTGAAAAGCCTTGGCATCTGCTTCAAATGCCTCTGAGCTTAGCACATATTGGGCAGCATGAAGTGGAATCTATACTTCTCTTCAGTAAGATGCCATTTAGTATCTGAGGCACGTGACTGACTACATTTTAGTTTGTAATTCACCTTGTTTTTACTGTGCTTTGTGATATGGCCAAAAATTATTTGGAGGAGTGTAGGAAATTTATGTTTTTGTCTTCAATTTTTATTGTATATATTACAATTGGGGTGTGTGTGTGTGTGTGTGTGTGGAGAGAGAGAGAGAGAGTGTTCTGTTAGTGTCATGATAGACTTCATGCCTTGGAGAGGCCTAAGCTTTCTGTTTGAAAAGAAAGCTTCCAAGCAACTATCAGAGCAGCTTCATTTTCAAACAGAAAGTTAGGCCTCTCCAAGGAATGAAGCCTGACAGCTGGGTCTTTTTTCCAAGTGGGTACAATTAGTATTTCTGTAAGGTCCAAGTCTGACAAGGGGACTCCCAGAAAGGAGAATCATGGGATTTGTAGTTTGAAGTATTTTAAATGCACATCCCTAGTAACATAAAACAATTTGGCTTCTAGAAAAGTAATTGGTTCACCCTTGCTTCTTTATACTAATTTGTTCCATAAATTATATATGTTTGCCTTTACAATTTCTAATGAATTCACCCAATCACAAAGTCAAATTATATATGTTTGCCTGTATTTCTAATGAATTCACCCAATCACAAAGTTTGTTTACAATTATGTTGTAACATGAAAGGTGGTTTACTTCTTCTGAATGGATGAACTCAGAGTGCCACCAAACGACCAGATTAATGGTGGCTAGAGATGGGCATGAACCAAACTACAAACCGGTTAAGTTTTCTGGTTGGTTCATGTTGGTTCAGGGTCAATCACAAGCCATCATGAATCGCCATTTTTCAGGTTCATGCCCATTCAATTACAAATCACAAGCCATCATGAATCGCCATTTTTCAGGTTCATGCCCATCTCTAATGATGGCCATACCACCAGACTCTTTTCTTAAGTGAGTTTCATGGTATTATGTTCAGATAAGCTTCAGGCTGGTAATGGTGAGTCATGAAATTGCATATTGGGCATTTTTAATAGAAAAGTTGCCTGAACATTTTTACTGGCCCTCATTTCAGTTATGGACAAATGAGGCTTACATTTTAGCTAAAAAGGAGAGAATAAGTTTGCATTCTCTGCCTCTCTTGTTTTACCATCACATATGGTGGTCACCTCCAGTTTCATGGTACTTGTAATATACAACTTTTTATTTAAAGCGGTGCTTCACTGTTATATTTGTTAGCACCTTGCTAGAAGTAATGGAAAGATTTCTCTGACAAAGTGCTAAGCTATAAATACTTTATGGTTCAGCCATACCAGCTGAGAACTAATAACTGTTGGATAACTCTGCAGTTTAGGTATCTGGCTGTGGAATCAGAGACTGGGAGTTTGATTCTCTGCTGTGCCTTCTTGACAGGGGCTGTACTTGATGATCCACAGAGTCCCTTCCAGTTCTGCAGTTCTAAGATTATTATTATATAACTGCAGCATTTAACTTCCTGAAATCTAAAATACCTGAAACTATCCAATATTCCAAGTGGTTCCTGATCACAGACACCCTTTACACCCATATCTTGCAGTACTGCTCCTATTGCACACCTGAGTCCACAGATGCTACAGATCAAATGATGACCGTTCTACTGTCATCTTTTTTATATTAATAGTTCTTCTTCTTCTTTCCCCTCTGCCTGTCTCTTGTCCTGACAGATGAAGAGTTCCATTTTTATACTGCAAATATTTAAACTCTTGAAGATACTGTTACCTGAAATTAATTACATTTATGTGAGTGACTCATCAATCATCTGCCATAATACAATCTCCCAGGGACTTTCTACAGTGAAAATCAGATTGTCAGCATTGCTGTCTATGAAAATGGTATAGTTTGATCTGGCTGCAACCTGTGGAAGTCAATTTCTGGCACACATTCCTATTGTTACAACAAGATGGATTAGGCTCATACCCTGCACTATGGCATTGTGCGCTTTGCTTTAGTTACCGTATTTTTTGCTCCATAAGATGCACCTCTCCATAAGATGCACCAAATTTTAGGAGAAGAAAACAGGAAAATAATGATCTGTTTTCTTCTCCTAAAAATTTGGTGAGCCTTATGGAGAGGTCCGTCTTATGGAACACACCCTAGGAACCCTTTGGAGGCTCACCCTGCCCCCCCAGGGGCCAGAGGGGGTGAAATCACCTCCTTCAGGGACTCTTCTGAAGCTTCCAAGCTGGCTCACCAAATCTTCATTTATTTATTCAATGGGCCTACTCTAATTGTGACTTACTATGTTAAGCAGCAGGACTTCAGTCAATATTTATAATTTTTAGGAGAGGTTCGAAGTAGTGCTGCTTTTTAAAAAAATAATATGATGACCACTTAAATCATTTCTTTGGGTAGATTTAGTAAGTAACAAATATTCATTACTTTCAAGTTGTTTCAGATATTTGAATTTGGGGATTTTTTCCTCCAACTTCTCCATTTTTAAAGAGCTTACAAAAGCAACACAGTATTAACAATTGAAGCAACAGCTAACCTGTAAAATGGTATTTTCTTTTAAAAAAAAGGTATATTGTATATCAGATCTCATTTTTAGCATCCACAATAGTATGCGCTGTGCAAAAAATTAGATCTTGTAACATTATGTTTTAGAAATTAGTTTATAGCATTACAAGAAAAGAGAATTCAGTTTCCCATTAGTTGGTGGTCTTGCTGCGGAGGAGGTAAGAGGAATGTCCCATTCACCAGTGGTTCAAGAACAAAAACCATGAGACAAAAGAGGTGTAAACTACCACCCAGAGCAATAGAGGATGAGTACTGTGCACAACTTAGAAATGAATTGGAGGTGGTGGGAAAACAACCCAGAAAAATGTTTGAAAAACGCTGATGCATGGCTGCAACAGAACCTGTAGGTTTGCTGCTATTCATCAGGAGTCAAAAGGCTACATGTTTGCTTCTGTCCCGGAGTGATAAGTGAAACGGGCAGCGTACCTTAGTCATACATTATAATGGAAAGTGTGACTCAGAGACAAAGCAGCTCTGGACAGTTTCCTCAGATGTCCAGAGCAGTCTTCTGAAGCACAGGGCAAGGGACGTGCAATAGGAAGGGAGTATTGCCCCTCTACACCTATTGCTGGATTCTGCATTTCCTCCAGCTTTGGATCCTGCCTCAAGATCCTGCTTAAGGAGATGCAGACGTGAAAGTCATTCTTGCTTCTTAAACCTTGCCTTCTTATGAATGTCCAGATAAATGTTAATCTTTCAGTGCTCGATTTTATCCTATTATAGTGGGGGAAAGTACCAATACAGGTAATCAGACATGGTCGCTGGGGTTGGTTTTCGTAGGTGAAAGTTAGCTGAGTAGGTGAAAGTTAGCTGAATGTTCTGAGATGCTGGTATTTTAAGCAACGGCCCTTCCCTGTTATTCCCCTTTGCCCCACCTCAATTTTAGCTCCTTCCAAAACAACTATCCTCATTCCACTCCTCTTCTCATGCATACCTGGGCAAAACTACATGCTCTGGAAAATAATTAAGACACATGGCACAAACCCTACTGCAGCGGAGAAATAACGCCCAATAAGCACTTTAAAAAACTGAAGTAGGGCTTTTATGTGGCTTTTACTCCCCTCAGAAAGCTTGCCCAGACAGAAGGCTTCAGGGCACTCACGACAGAGCCTGCTGTTTTGCAGAGAGTGTGTCATTTCAGCCCCAGCTGCAATCCCCCACTACTCTTCTGCCAGACTTGCTGTGGGTCCCTTTCACCCTTGCTCACTCACTGGCCGGCTCTCCCCATGGTGCCCAAGTGAGATGGAAGCCAGCCCCAATCTGCCTTCTGCTGTGAGCTTGGTCCATGAGGGGGACTTGAGCCAGTAGGTTATCCTGATCCCCTGCCATGATTGATGGGATCCAATTGCTGGGGAATAGGGACAAGAGCTAGGACTTGCTCTGTCACCTGTGACTGATGATTTCCTCCTGCTCCTGGGCAGGCAGAGGTGTGAGTCTCCAGTGTGATCTGCAAGTGTAACTTCAATTAAAACAGCACATGTGGTGCAAGTGGGTTCATGCCTGTTTGCACCTAATCCACAGTAAATACCTTTGCTGTGGATTATTGCAAAGATGTAATTCCAACCTAGATCTCTCTGATTGTCCCATTTTTAATAGTACATATTACCTTTCTCCTATTATCTCCCACCCCAGGCTCAGGTAACAACAGGCTACCTCAACACTCCCTTTCCCCACATCTCCATATCACATCTTATCCCTTTAGCATGGGAAATGTAATTCCCTCCCTCCCAAATATGATCTCAGCCCCAAGTCAAATCCCATATGTGGTTGGGCAATCCGGGTTTTTTTTCTTCCTCTACCAAACCAGTTTCTAAGAATTCATGGGTACTTACAAATGTTCTGCTGCATCAACATCCAAATGCTTTTCTTTACCATTTGGTATACTGTGGTCAATAACTATGGTTTCAGTGTTGGCTAAACAAAATCCATTAGATCGCATGATTTCTATAGGGAGGGAAAAAAAGGAAAGGAAAGGCATTAAAAATGAGGACTAATTTCAGAAAGGTGGAAAGAAGCTCATGTGATGACAGGTCAAATATCTAGAGTGAAAGGACATATATCTTTTTCTTCTTCAAAAACTACATACAGATACATTTTTCTTCAAAGTATTTTTCCTTTACAGGATAAGCCTTAGCTACAAGAAATGTGTGAGTCACCTCTTTGATAAAGCTGGTGTTGGAAGGTCTGGCAAATTCCAATTAATTTCAAAGGAAATAAATATATGACATGTAGTCACTTCCAACTGTTTTCTAGACACAGTCCATGTTGATGTAACATCCTTGGATGAATACCCTCCAGCTGTTTTGGTCTTAACTCCCATCAGCCCCACCCAGCATGGCCAAAGATACAGGAATGGTACAGGAATATGGCAGCTGTATTATCATAAAAAAAAGGGAGAAGACAAGCTTTCTCCATGTCAGGAAAAGAGGGAAGGAAATGCAGTTACTTTCCTCTCCATAGCTAAACTCCACAATAATTTTTGAATTAAGTTGCTGTTTAGTCGTTTAGTCGTGTCCAACTCTTCGTGACCTCATGGACCAGAGTATGCCAGGTCCTCCTGTCTTCCACTGCCTTCCGGAGTTTGGTCAAATTCATGTTGGTAGCTTTGATGACACTGTCCAACCATCTCGTCCTCTCTCGTCCCCTTCTCCTGCTTTGACTCTTTCCCAACATCAGGGTCTTTTCCAGGGAATTTTCTCTTCTCATGAGATGGCCAAAGTATTGGAGCCTCAGCTTCAGGATCTGTCCTTCCAGTGAACACTCAGGGTTGATTTAAGTTTAAGGATAGTAATTTCCTGATCCTATGACCCTTTGTAGTAATGAAACTCCCATGGTTGGAGTGTACTGCTGTTAAATATGGCTGCAAAATGCTAAGCCTGGTGCTTCCAAATTAAGTTTTTATTGCACCACCAAACTGTCTCATTCACAGACATTTAAGAGGGTCCAGATACTGTCATCTTCCGCTAGAAGTCCTCCATTTTCTCTCTCCTGCCCCTTCTTTCTATGCATAAGATATTCATTATGAAAGAAAGGATGGGGTGCTGCATTTTGTCTTTTGTGCCCCCCCCCGCCCATGGTTCTGGTAGCATCCCAGGGCACACACAAGCCACCTGGCCCTAACACAGGTCTTCTTAAAGAAAAAAACCCAAGAGCTTTTTTGTGCCATTGTTGGAGCTTCTGCAGATTCCAGCCATTCTGTGCCAGCTTGCACACTGTTTCAGGCAAACTGAACATGGGAAAGTTAATTGTCCTCTGCCATGTTGAACCTGACAGGCTTTATAGATGCTACTGCAATTTGGCAAAACCCTTCAGGTGCAAAGGCATGAGAGAAAGCCAGCCTGGGTTTAATTCAGCACACAACAGAGGAGCAGGGTTTTTTTCACACAACCAGCATAGCTTCTAGAAGTACAACTGAAATCAACTCAAAAACAGTGACTGTGGGCTCAGAAAGCACGGTATGAGCCGTGAAGATTTTATTATGACACGAAGGGTGTTTCCAATCAAGGTTTTGATTATGTAATCATCTTGTATTATTCACAGAATTCAGGGGGTGGGTGGGTTAATTTCTCCCTGGTAATTGTGATATATTTTTATGCCACTTTTATCCCCCCCCCATGAACATATACACACATCCATTATGTAAGAAAAGATGAGAAGACCTGCTCCGTAGCTTTTGACTGATAACGCCAGGAATTAAAGGACAACATTATCTGCACAGAGAGGCTCAATGCATATTATTATTTCAACACATTTCTTACAACAGACTTTGGAATGTTCTAGGAATGAGCACTTATGACTCTAGAAAGGGTAGACAATTGCAACTGGCTACCCACACTTCCCTGCCATTCTAGGATGTTTCTGTCAGCAGTTTTTCCACGTTGAGTCCTTATTCAATCTAATACAAAGTCTCAACTCATTTTTAGCAGATACTGATTCTCTTGTGCTTATTTGAAATTTGTATAATACAGCTCTGCGCTCTAAACTATTCTTTGCACATAAAATACATTTGTGCCCAATTCTGGACACTGTAATTTGAGAGAGAGATAGACTATATAGGAACAAGTTCAGAAGAGGGCAATGAGGATGGTCAGCAGGATACAAAAAAAATTAATCCTGTAAGGAAAGATTGAAGAAATTAGTCAGGAGTTGCCTAAAGAAAAAAAATATTAAGGAGGGACAGGTTGTGTTCCCCAGATACCTAAAAAGATTTCACACACAAGAGGACAAATGTTTGTTTACTGCTGCCCAGAGAGCAGGGCTAGATCCAAGGGACTTAAATTCCAGTAGACTAGACTTTAGTTGACTGTTAGGCAAAATGTCTTCATTAGACTCCTCCGTTGGTGGATGGCAGAGATCTGTTCTACACTTAGGGTGGATGGACTAGAAGCCTATCAGAGCCCTCTATTTCCATCATTCTGATTCCTGCATCAGTATAAAAGAGCTACAATTCACAAAAGCTTGCACTAAATAAAACATGTATTCCTTGCGATGCCACAAGGTTCTTTGTTGGTCCTGCCGCAACAGACTACCAGCAAGAGGGAGCCTGTAAACTTCTTAGTATTCAGTTACTGTGGGAGGCTGAAGCCCTGCTGTCTTGACTGGAATTCTGCCAAGCAATGACAGAGTTCAGTAACAGATTTTCAAAGTTGGGCAGGGGGAGAGGGAAAATCTTACAGAAAGAAAAAAGGACTCTTGTACCTCATATCCTAGGGCTTTGTGCGAAAATGATGGGAGATTTTCCCTAATTAGGTAGAACATTTCAAACCTGAAATTTTAACATATGAACATCTAAAGGTTTTGTGCACCATATCACTGCGCAAGCTGTAATGAAGCTTTCTATTATATGGTGTTAAATATGTCCTTGTTTTCTTCATTCAGATGTAACAGCTGAGTAGGGGAGTGATGTTCTTTTATACATTCTGAGTTTGTGAGGCCTGTGTCAAATCTCTGTTGCCTCCTTCTCCCCCATCAGGATGTGCAGTTCAAGCATGAGTCAACTTTTGCAACAAACAATTACAGTGGTGCCCCGCATAGCGAGGTTAATCCGTTCCGGATTAACCCTCGCTATGCGAAATCGTCACTAAACGGGTAGGGAAAATGTATTGAAACGCATTAAACTTAGTTTAATGCGTTCCAATACCTTTCTTACTTACCCGTTCAGCGAGGATTCCAATTGCCGGCAGCCATTTTCGCGCCTTCGCTAAGCGAGGGCACGGCGTGAAAACGGCTGCCGGCAGCCATTTCCGGGATTCCTGCGGCCAGTTTTGAGCCGCCGAACAGCTGTTTGGCCGCTCCAAAATGGCTGCCGCAATACCCGATCTTCGCAATGCGGGTTTTCCCCATTGCGACGATCGGGTATGTTTCCGTATAGCGATCCCGAAAAAGGGATCGCTATACGGAAACATCGCTATACGGTGCACTCGTTAAGCGAGGCACCACTGTACTTTGCAGAAAGGGGAAGGAAAGTTGAGACTCAAATGGGTTTTCATCCTATAGGCTTGATTCCCCCCTTCCCTTTCTTCCAGCTGGAGAGGGATTTGTTGGGAGTTTGCTTTTTTGTCAACAAACAAAAAACATATTCCTTCCATTGTAATCTTCTTTTGACAATACAAATTGCCAACAAAGCTGGCAGCAATTCTAATGTGAAATGTGAGCAGAATGCTAGTTTTTCCCTTTCTCTCTGTTTTCTCAAAATGACAACCTTTTTCTTCCAGGTAGATTAAACTTCAGGTACATTAAATAATACCTGAGGAGTTAAGTTCAAGATAATCTACCCTAGCAAAAAGCTGGCTCATTTTTACCCTGCATGAATTGGAGTGGGATGCCAGGTGATTGTAAAAATCAGGGTGCACAATCTGCCCCCCATAGCTTTAAGTGTGACCAATATGGTTACCCTACCTCCCCTGCTGCCAAATGCTCCACTAATTTCCCATCACTTCTATGAGTTGCTCATGGTCAGATCGGGGGGACACTTGGGCCCCAAATTTTGGAGCAGTGTGACCCTCTACTCCAATTATTTATTTAAAGTATTTTTGCACTGCCTTTCTCCTAAGAAAGGGCCCAAGGCAGCTTACATCATTAAAACTCAGTTAACACTAAAAACCATGATAAAATATTAAACAAATCAATAACATTATATTTAGAGTGTTGGGTAAGGCATTATTAAAACAGCTTTAGAAGCAACAAAAAAACAAACCATCTCATGTTAAAACCATTCCTGGCCAGTCACTAAAGAAAAGCCTGCCTGAAGAGCAAGGCCTTTGCCTGCTTGCAGAAGGACAGCAATAATTGGACCAGCCTGGCCCCCTGTGAGAGTTCCAGAGGCCAGGAGCAGCTTATGAGCTGCCTATGGATAGATCTATATTAGGGCCAAACTATATATTGAAGATAACCAATAGAAAAAGGAACACCTTAGTTGCTGAGAACCTCTGATTAATATAGCAAGAGCTCTTCATGTAGTTTGCAGCCTTTGTTTGGTGATTCGTCCTTGGGACACCATGGGCTTCATCAAGTACAGAAAGGAAATGCTTCTCACAACGGATATCCAGCTGGGGCAAACAGTGTGCTAAATCCAACACTAGTCCTACCATTGAGATCAATGCAACTCAATTTGTTGTTGTTGTTTAGTCATTTAGTCGTGTCCGACTCTTCGTGACCCCATGGGCCAGAGCATGCCAGGCCCTCCTGTCTTCCACTGCCTCCGAGTTTGGCCAAATTCATGTTGGTAGCTTCGATGACACTGTCCTACCATCTCATCCTCTGTCAGCCCCTTCTCCTCTTGCCCTCATACTTTCCCAACATCAGGGTCTTTTCCAGGGAGTCTTCTCTTCTCATGAGATGCCCAAAGTACTGGAGCCTCAGCTTCAGGATCTGTCCTTCCAGTGAGCACTCAGGCTTTATTTCCTTTAGAATTGATAGGTTTGTCCTCCTTGCAGTCCAGGGGACTCTCAAGAGTCTCCTCCAGCACCACAATTCAAAAGCATCAATTCTTTGGCGGTCAGCTTTCTTTATGGTCCAGCTCTCACTTCCATACATCACTACAGGAAAAACTATAGCTTTGACTATTCGGACTTTTGTCGGCAAGGTGATGTCTCTGCTTTTAAAGATGCTGTCGAGGTTTGTCATCGCTTTCCTCCCAAGAAGCAGCCGTCTTTTAATTTCAGGGCTGCTGTCTCCATCTGCAGTGATCATGGAGCCCAAGAAAGTAAAATCTGTCACTGCCTCCATGTCTTCCCCTTCTATTTGCCAGGAGGTGATGGGACCAGTGGCCATGATCTTGGTGTTTTTTTTGATGTTGAGCTTCAGACCGTTTTTTGCACTCTCCTCTTTCACCCTCATTAGAAAGTTTCTTAATTCCTCCTCACTTTCTGCCGTCAGAGTGGTGTCATCTAAAAAGCCCCATCCATAGGATAGGCCAGCTTGGAGTTGTGGGGACTTTGCTCTGGATTGAGAAACTGCGTTAAATTGAGGAGAGTGAAAAGTTCCTATTTTGGGGCAGGATCCCAACACCTATCATTTGTGGTGTGTGATGGGGATTTATCACATGACTGAAGGGTGATTTCTTCCAAATGTAAGCTGCAGTGATGGACTTGTATTTTGTGTGTATAGAGTATGTGTTTGTATGCCTGCGTGAGAAAAAGAATGGGTGGGTGAATAAGGCGTGTCAGAGTGGGAGTGAATGGATGAATGAATGGGAGAGTACACATGCATATATATCTGTGTGTGGACACAGTGTAGAATAGTTACACCAGCCTTTGTCTATGGCTACACAACCTATTGGCTCCAGGCCCTTCACCACAGCCACAAGCACAGTATCACAGAGAAGAATTTGGACCACTGAGAGAAGATTTATATGCCAAGATACAGATGTTTTCTTCAACTAAATTCAGAAAGATTTCTCTTAACTAAATTCAGTTCTTGACGAAATTCAGCAGGATCCTCCCCAATCCGACATGTCTTCAGTCTTCTGTGTGACTGCCTGGCCATCTGTTATTTATCTTAATTCCAGCACAGAAATATAATGACAATGTGTAATCGCCTTAATTCTCAGCTATAGAAATCCATTCAGTCAAATGACAACCCTCCCATAGCATTTGGTTTCAAAGAAAATTAGAGGTTACTCAAATACACAATACAGTGAGTTTCACTTTCTGGATATGCAATCCTTGAAGAAGCCTGAGAAAACGTAGAGGTAGAGTAAAAGGAATTCTGTTTTGACCATAGAAGTCAGAAAGAGGGGGAGAAAACTCAATATTTAGCATGACTTGAACCATAGCAAAAACAGATCTCTTACCTGATATTTTAACTGGACTTTGAAAACTTGGTTGAATTTTATGGACATTGTCATTTTTTAGCACCTGATCTAACGGAGATCTTTCAAAGAAAGTGAGGACAACTTCGGATCTCGAATACTAGAGTGGGGGGAAGAACCAAAGAGATGATTACAGTTACAGAGGAAAGGGATGAGATCACATCTAAATTTTTGCAGCCAAGCTAGATATACTTTCTCTTAAGCATTTATTTAGCAAAGCAGCAAATTCCAAGATCAGAAGGCTCAAGGTTCATAGACACAATGGTGTTTGTTCTGGTCATTCAAGCACAGAGGTGTCACAATCACACAGAGTAGGGATGAGGAACATTACACTTTTCAGATGAAAAGGAGCTGCACACACATGAAAAGCACAGCATTTTTATGTGCCAACCAGTAATCCATTTGTGTCCCTGATTTTCAAACACTTTCCATCAATCTGAGTAAAAATGCAGCATATCCAAGTCCATCAAGTAATGTTGGCACTTGGAGCAGAAAAGCCCACAAATTGGTCACCGTCTTCAAGGCAGTAAATCATAACAAATCCCCTGAATTTAATTCCACTGGCTGAAGCAACTGCTTCACTTTGCCTAATTGCAAGGCTGACCCTGGTAAACTTAACTTTGTACAGTAGTAGATTATGTTGTATGTAAGTGCCCATATCATTAACCTTATTTTACATCACTGCGAGAAACAAACATTGACTTGCAGGAGCTCTTCATCTAGAATCAGGAACAACAAAGAGATTTACTCCAAAGCTTGCGTGCAAAGATTAAACCCAGTTGTTCTAATCCAAACCTCCGTGTGTTCTTGTGTGCGTAGAGAGGTCTCCACAATCTGAAACCCTGCAGCCCAGGGCCATAGGGAAAAGCCCTAGTCAGCTCAGAGATGGGAGTTGCAGTCCAAGAACATCTGGGGACCCAAGGATGGGAACCACTGCTCTAGAGGGCCAAATATCCACTATTCTTGGTTTTGGCTTTGACTACTCACCCCACTCCAGTTCAGCGAAGAGACAACTTGCTGCTCTCCACTGCAGAATTGCTAACTGTAGTCCTGAATCTACTAAACTCAACCCCTTTGTTCTAAGCAAGAATCCTCACTTAAACTTAGTACCCAATTAGCTCTAGAACCCTAGGTCTCCTTGTCTCCATCTTGTCTGTGCTGCCAGCACTTCTGAGTGGTGGCTGGCGACTTTATGGCCAGCCAACACCTGCTGAGCTGCAATGTTTTTCTCTAGCTTTTAAACCTACCAGGCAGGGAGCTCCATGACAAGTGAACCTCAGAATTCACCAACAGACCTGGAATGAATAATGTTTTCCAGTCATGAAATCTTTGAAACTTGTCTTCATACAAAATTAGGTTCAACAAGTATAAAACAGTTGTTGCAAAGGGGTTCACACTGAACTAGAATTATTGCCTGACTCCGTGTGAGGCAACTTCCTATGTTTCTATAAATTGAGCCCAAACGGATAAGGACCATAACCTACTAGCAAAGGGTATGTTTTGCATGCAAGCGATTCCAGGTTGAGTTCCTTGGCACCTCCAGGAAGACTGGAGACGAGACTGTCCAGAACAGAAAAACTGCTACAAGTCAGTGCAAACAATGCTCAGCTCCAAACACCAATAATTTGTTCGGGTTCTGTCCCACAGTACATACATGATCTAGTTACAGCAGCAGGCCACGTATAAAAATACTGCAAAGAGTAATTTTTATTTCCAGCACTCTTCAAATGACAGGGTGTAACCCATAAGTGGCTAGCCATTTTTTGAATGGCTAGCCACAGATGGCTATGTTGAAAGAAACACACGGTCTGTGTCAGAACTTTGAAAAGTTACTCTTTTCTTGGACTACAATTTTCATCTCTATCTCTAACAGCATAGCCAGAAACTATTGGTTGCAATTTACAAACTAGAAAATACTCAAACTAGAAATGGGCTACCCTTCCATGCTCACTACAGATACTATTTTAGCAGCAGACCAGGTCCAAAGCATGCTATACCCATTGATCTGCACATTCTCCCAGAAACAGAAATCTCCAAAGAAAACGAATGGGAGTTGAGTCTACTAGGGGCTCTTTCCATCTAGCAGGGGGATAACATACTAAGTGTGAGTGAGCATAGCTTCTTCATGCCCCAGCTAAATATCTCTAGCATCTTGTCAAGGATAAGAGCCTTATATCTAGTGCTGCCTCTTCCAGGCATCATGTAGTCATTGGTATAGTCAACCTGACAGTGGCTGCCACCAAAACGAGGCTTAAGTGTGCTAGGGTAACCGGCAGGTGCTTCAGTGTTCATTAGCCTGCAGCTCTTTATGCTAGTGAAAGGTGTCCAGCACTAGATTGACACGGGTACCAGGTTTCCAAGAATGATCCCATCATACCTGTTTTTTCGTTGGTTGATTTCATTTATCTGCAGCTTTCTACTTGGAGTTTTTTAGTTTGATAACCCTCAAACTCAAATGATCTCTACAAGTGATTTTTTTAAATTAACATTCCCAAATTATAAATGGGTATGGATGTCTATGGCTTCAAACCCATACCGACTTAAACTGGGGAAAAATTCCCAAAGAATTTTATAAATACCTGAGACTTGATTTCTTGCACTTAGCTGGTCAACATGGTAGCACCTTCTACCTAATGTGTTTGGGTTCTAGCTTTTGGGCCAAGCCACTCATTTTGGACAAATTTCTGTTTCAGGTACCAGAGGCTGTGATTTTGTTCTAAGCTAGTTAATAATCTTCTTAGGAATAATCTGGAGGAAACTTCAGTTTGGCACCAGGGCTAAATGCTGCTTGTCAGTTAATGAAAAGGGGCACTTGGAAAACTAGTGGTGAATAATATTACTGAAGGGATCAAATTAATACATATAAAATATATATCTTAGCCTAACCGTAGCCATCTTGATTTTTGTAACTTGCTTTGCTATATGTAAACCAGTTACAGTATATTAAGGTTTTGCTTAGGCAAGCAAGAATGAACAAGGGAGGAGGAGGTGCCCATCTGAGTTTCTTTCACTTTACTATTAAAGTATTTCTAAATTGGAAAGTTGTCCTTGCAGGATTCAGGCCGTCTGACGGAGGAACGAATTATTGCCCACAGCCGAGCATCTGCAGTAACGCCTACTAATGACAGAATCTCCTCCCATTTCTCCTCCTCCCCCCACCCCCTTAGCCCCTCTTTCATGTTCTGCCTTATAAAAATGTATACTTTTGTATCTGGGGCACACTTGTTCTCCGCATGTTTTCTGCAAGTGAAGTTTGTGCCTATTTGCTTGCTTTCAGCTGAAAATAAACAAATATCTATTGGATCTCTCTGTCTCTCGCTGACTGATTAAGGCATTAGAGACAGGCAAAAAGCTAGGAAATAGTTTTGGCACTCTTCATTACTTACTTAAAATATTTCTGTCTTGCCTTTCTCCTGAAAAAGTGGCTTGAGGTATGGACCGAAGGTGGCTTATGTCATTAAGACAGTATTTAAAAGCTAAAAACAGTAAGTATACAAATATTAAAAAAGAATTTAAACTAGCCTTATATTAAAATGGTGACTAAGATCAAAATGAAAACACATGTAAAGCAACAGACCACAACAGTCCTTTTAAAACCCATCTCAGACCACCAAGGAGGCCAACTTACCTTGCAAGGCATATTTATAATATTCTTGAGAAGCTTCTCAACTTCATTTAGCCTGGCTTCTATGTCTTGGGACTCTTTAATTGTGATAAGTCCTGGAAATAAAGGAAAAGAAATGTTAAGGGAGTCTGGGCAAGGGATGAGAAAGGCAAAGGATGAAAGCATTCACTCTCTTTTTTTGGACATTTACATATAGATCTAATGCCATATATATCCCTAAGAATTTCAAAGGGAGGATGCAGTCAGACTGGCATTTGTCCCATTGTTTGGTCTGCTACAGGGACCGACTGGTTCACTCCTTTTGGTGACAATCAGATGACATAATTGCTAGAGTGAACCAGTCCACCCCCAGGCTCTTCCTACCCACACCTTTCTGGATCCCTGTCATGAGGCTGCTACTGTTTTAGTGAGGGTAGGACTGCTCCATTTTGATTCGTTTCCAACACATGTCATTGCTGGCATCAAACCACAGCAGAGCATGTGGATTGAAATTTCCCTTCCACTTTCTATTTCCCAACATCATTAAGTGGCTTAAGAAGACAGAAGGAAGCAATCCCCCCCCCCACAAAAAGTCTGTTAATGCAGCATTGATGTGCTATATCACTTAGGATTTTTTAAAAAAAATGAAAAATTTCTCCCAGAAGGAAAAGAGAGGGGAAGGGGCAAGGAGGGGGTGTTTTGTGGTTATTTTTGTTTTTCTTAACAGAGATGAGCCAAGTGGAGTCGCTTGAGATGTGTACGCCATTTGGATGCAAGGATTGCACCAAATGGCATACCAGACCACTTCTAAACCTTAAGCAACTCTGTTTAGCTTCATCCAGCCTGCTCCAGTTGAACCTTGCAGACAAGTCCTGAGTAAAAAAAGATTAGGCAGATTTTTTAAAAACAACATCAAAGAGCCCGGTGGTGTCTAACACATTCTAAGTATGGTATAAGCTTTGCTTGACTGCCTTCCTTTCATTAAAACCAACCGCCAAATGATACTCCTAAACCCTTTCCCAGCTTATAACTGTCCCCATCTCAAAATGACTGCAAAAAGTAAGAAGTAAAATCAGGTTGCTAAACTACTCCCATTCCACCCCCTCTGCATTATGAATGCAAAAGGCATCATTGGCCAAGATGCTCAATTACATTACAAAATGTAGCAAGAATGAGACCCGAAGGCCTCATGACTAACAAATGCCTGTACATGAAGGGCTTGTAAACGAGGCCTAAGTTTTAGAATTGTGCCTTGTCCATACAATCATGGAACTGAAAGACTGGCAACAAGAAGATTCTGTATCCCCTTGAGGTGTGGAAAAACCCAGCACTTACAGAAGTTAAAAAAAGCACCCTTGAATCTTAAAGATGACCCATCTCCCTTTTTACCTCTGGTCATAACTATGTCCCTAATTTGTTTCTTGTTCGTCTGTTTTTTATTTTTGTTTTTGTTTTGTTTTTGTTTTGTTTGTCTGTTTTTTATTTTTGTTTTTGTTTTTCTCAAAAAGAATGACCCTCTTCAGCAATCTACAGGCATCATGCAGCCCAAGGCAAGGTCATGGAGCAAAACTTTTGTCCCCATGTCTGGTGTGACTGCTCATGAAATGACCCTTTTCAGCAATCTACAGGCGTCATGCAGCCCAAGGCAGGGTCATGGAGCAAAACGTTTGTCCCCATGTCTGGTGTGACTGCTCATCCCCACCTTACAAGATAGCTCTCTCCCTGGAAACCCATGAAGACGAATCACCCTTGAATGAGGTTTAATTTAAAACACTTCACTGGACATGCAGCAGGTCGATATGCCTTATCTCAAGTATTGTTCGTCTTTTTGTTAATGACTAGTTACTATTAACAATGATTCTTCCTGAAATAGAGTATCTAACTGCCATGCTTTATTTTGCCCCATTACAATGAAAGAAAACCATTCATCTGCATGGGAGAAAGTTAGACAAAATGACTGGGATACAGTTTGATCTGAATCTCTACTATCCACTGTCCCAGCCAAGCCCAGTATAGACCATCCTTGGCTCTGTTTCTTCCTAATTTTGTTACAGCCTTCCCGAGTCTAATGCCCTCCCATTGTGTGGAGCTACAGCTCCCAAGGCCTTAACCTAAGGCCAACAACCATGTAGGCTGGGGACAATGGGAGTTGTAGTCCACACACTCTTAAGGGAGCACTAGTTGAGAAAGCCTCCTCTAAAGTGTGACAAAATGTAGGGATTTTTTCGTCCTGTATGTCTACCTACAATCCAATCATCTATCTGTCTATGCACCTATCTATAAGTTTTTTCTTGTTATTTTTTATTGCTCACAGTTCAAAATAATGTAAGTTTGATTTAATGTTGCTTCATAAAATAGTGTGGAAATTTGTGCATGAAAACAAATGAGAGGGAGGGAAAGAGATCCATTCTATGGCAGTTTCCGGGACAGTCCAGTAGAGGGTACCATAACACCACACACTGCCCAAGATTCCCACATACAGTAACTAGTTATTCAGTGTGGAAACACTTCAACAGTGCAACCCTATGCGTGTCCATTCAGAAATCCCATTGACTTTGGATCCAATTCTTTGATTAAGCATGCTTTCGGTTGCAGCATAACAGTGAAATACTCTGCAAACCTATGCAGAGGCCATACCACCTTCTTTAATAACATTTGCAGTCATGTAAGTGGCACAAGTGAACTGTCTTAAGTTTCGAAATTGCACTGAATACAATCAACCATAAATGGGAGACAGAAAAGTTTACTTATGAAAATATTTGATAAAACAAATAACATGCTTGTGACAGCACTTCAGAAAGAAAAAAATAAGTATGAGGAAAAGATAATTACTTACAGAACAAACGTGCTTGACAGAGCCATAGCATAGTTTAAGGTAAAGGTAAAGGTTCCCCTTGACATTTAGTCCAGTCGTGTCCGACTCTGGGGCGCAGTGCTCATCCCCGTTTCCAAGCCGTAGAGCCAGAGTTTGTCTGAAGACAGTTTCCATGGTCACGTGGCCAGCACAACTAGACATGAAATGCCATTACCTTCCCACCGTGGTGGTAGCTATTTATCTACTTGCATTTACATGCTTTTGAACTGCTAGGTTCGTAAATGTAAAGTAATGTAAACTAGCATACTTTACATTACTTTTAACTTATGTAAATCGCTCTGGGAACTTTTGGTGAAAATAAGAACATGAGAAAGTGAGTGCAGATCCCATGTTTCTGCCTCTAGGCAATTTACTGTACACACTAAAATTTCCCACTGAGCTAACAAGTCAGCACAAGCTGAGGGAAAAGTGCAAAAGAAAGAAATTGATCACAAAGGGATGAATATGCACAAAAGATGAAACATGGCTGTAAGCCTTCCTTCTACGAGAGGCGAAGATGTCAACAAGTGCTGGAGCATATGCGGCCCTCCAGTTGTCGGTTTCCCACTCCCATGGATTTTGTTCACCCTGGTCCGTAATGGGGGATGGCAGGAATGCTCATCAGCATTTGGGGGGGACAAATCCCCCACTCCCCACTCAGGTGGGTTAAGACAGAAGATGGGAACTATGAAGGAACTGAAAAAGACCCCCAAGTGTAAGGACATGTCACTGCAGACCAAGGTCAACATCACCTACAGTAGTTCCAATGATTGTGCACAGAAATGAACTGGGCAATGAAGAAAGGTAACCG